TTAACTGCATCACGTGTAGTCCTGCCCAATGTATTTCTCCTGCTTGTTCTTCTAGTGGAGCATGGGAGAACATTTACTTCCCCAGTTCAAAGCCAGTAGGGATTTTGTTATGGAGTTTCCTCTGCAATTGGTGCCTTCCCCCAGTAAATGACCAGTTGGATCCACCCCTCATTTGAGATCTAGGGCTGGGGGTGTTTCCTGGAAGTGTAAAATGATAATTATAATTGCAATAATAATATCTCCCAAAGAGTTACTGGTGGAGATATCCAGCTGAATGGGACTTGGATTTGCCTCAGGACACGGGTGTGAGCTCTTCCTCCCTCCATCTGTCATTATAATGTCTATTTCATGTATTTCACCAAGATGGAAAGGCCTAACACCCTAGCCACACCATCTTTCTCACATTCTGTCCACCTTCATGTTACCACTTATGCTGGATTTACTCAGTATCCTTTACAGTAAATCTCTGTGATATCTAAGTGCAATGTATGAATGAATATATAAAAAGATGAGTAAAGAGAAGGATGCTGATCCACTATGTGAGCTCTGGTTGTGTGGAAGTCACAAGACCAACTTTTCCCTTTTGTTGCTATTTCAGAAAGGACTTCATCTTTGTAGTTGATCAGCATCAGACTCTCCATCTCTTTCAGTGTGGAATTCTTGTTCTTAGTAGTGGATAAAGATAAATAACATTTTCTTTATATGAAAATGTATTTCAGAAAGAAATTTACCTTTCTGTACCACCTTCCTCTGCTTTAGAGGCATTTTCTTTGCTTCTTCAAGAATGAACTAATAACCATGTGCTAGTGCTCACAGAAATGAAGGTTGTGTCACCCACCTGTTGGTGGAGGGCTACAGCATTATGACAGTTATATCGTAGACTGGCAAAACACAGGTAAACATGTATAGGAAGGGGGAGTTTGTTCAAGGCTGGTGCTAATTGTGCATTTTCAGGTAAGGAAAATTATAACATGAAGCCCACGTGACACGCCCCTCTCATTCTGTCGTTCATTGATCTTCCTTTACAAGATTCATTATATGGTTATTTTACTTTACCACCCATAAATAGACATTTAGCCTTAATTTAATTTTTTGAAAACCTGGTTTCCTACTTCAAACAGCTAATGGAATGTTTTAAACCTATTTATAGCTTATTTATATATCAGTTAAATTATAGTAGTTTTGGGGCATTCTTTTCTAGTTTTCTGTATATTTTCTTGAGTTCCAATGTGTATATTTAGATTTTGTGGAGAGCTAACATAATATGAAAAATCTAGTGCTTTGGATGTAAGCTCTAGTAAAAAATGCTGAAATATAATATTTAATGTAAGTACAAAATTACTCATTTTTCATGTATAATCTTTATTTGTTGTTATATATTTTCCAGCAAAAAGTAGATAAAATATAAAAATAAAAAAATTTCAGATTAGATATCAAAATGTAAATGAAAAGCTGAAAAAAAAATTTTCACAAGACAGGCTTGAGGTAACTGTGCCTAGTGATTGTAATCTGTTTGATTGTTTACACTAGGTTTTTCCCACTGTTTTTAATTTTACTATGGAGTATTCTAAAGTAATAAAATGTTTTGACAAATAATTTTAATTCTCCATTACAATTTGCAATCATTTTTGAAAAACAAAAAAGGTTTGTTTGTTTTTTTACCCCCAGGATGTTTTCAGGTAATTTATCGGTCTCATAACAATATGCTATTTTTGTTATGGGATATTCACTTCTGCACATTTTCTGAGCTCATGATTGACAGTTCTTGGATGTATACAGGGGCATATTAACCAATAGGCTTTCAAGGTTTAGCCCAGAGCAAAACTATTTGAGAAGTACATATTAGCAAAAACATGTTTAAACCATTTTTTAAATTTAACATTTAATTTAATTTTTTTGAAATTTCTTCCTTAAGATGCATCCCTCAAATAGTTTGGCTTTAATATACCTTCTTCCATGTCAATTTTTTTTTCTTTTTGATTCCCTTGACCTGCTGCACCTGTGCTCATTGTGGCCATCTTATGCCATATGACTTTGACTAATCACTTACAGTCCAGTTTCCTGAGCAAGACGTTTTCTAGTCAGTATGTTTGCATACACCATCACAGTATGTTATCTCATGCATATCTTTGTATTCAAGAAAAGGTTTTAGAAAACATTTTCTTCATGTGCCATGATATTTATTTCTTATACTTCATAATGTTTGAAAACAAAAAGAAACTGAGTAGTGCTCAATTTAAAAAAAATGCATACATTTTTCACTACTACTTTAAAACAGGACGATCATTCAACAAGTATTAGGATTAACCAAGAGAGTGATATTATTCCATCAACAAGCAGTATAAGTTGGTTTATTAAAAGCACAAGATACTAAAATTGGAGATGAACCATATATCCAGTGTACAAATAAATGTGTAAGTGACAGGACATTTTTGAATCATCGAACAGTGTTGAGGTACGTAATGATTCAGCTGAATGGGGAATTAATTATCATATTCATGACAGTATTGATCAAAATGAAGCAAAACAATCGTTGTGGTTTCTATGGGTATTTGAAAATGTATTCTGATCAAACAAAGTATCTTTTCAAAGTTTTACATACTCAAAAACTCACAAATGGTGAAACAGCAGAATATAAATGGTTAATATAATTTTCTTGTATGGATTCTGTCTACTTTGCTCCATGCAAACTTTTTGATGATGCAAATTCATTTGTTAATGGCTTTTCTGATTGGAAAAACAAAAGTGGAGTATCATGAAAAATTTTCTGAACATCAAAAATGTGTTGTGTCATTAATTGCTAGTGGAAAACATTGGAAAGGATTGATAAACAAATTGGAATAAGAAATATCATGTTGGAGAAATAGTCTTTCACTAATGATCAGAACTAAGTTTTTGGCCTCTCTGGGACTGCCAGCTTGAGATCACAATGAAGTTTCTGGGTCCCTAGCGAATGGAAACTTTATGAGATGTTTAGAGCTTATAAGTAAATTCAATCCATTCATGGCTGATCATATAGCTAAATTTGGTAATGCTAGAAGAAGGTACCTGTTGAATTTATCACCCACAATTGTTGATGAATTGATCTTGCAGATGGGTGAATAAGTTAAGAAAATAACTGAGGAACTGAAAGTTGCTAAATACTTTTCCATTAGCATGGGCTTAACACCTGATATTGCCCACATTGATCAACTAATTTCCTACCTAATCTGGGTCATAAAGCTGTACAGCTATCAGAGGCTGTGATGAAAACCATACAAATTAGAGTTGACAATTGCCATGGTCAAAGCTATGACAGAGCAAGTAACATGTCTGATCAATACAGTGTGCTCAAAGCTAGGATACAAAAGATCTATCTACTAGCTATTTACATACCATGTTCAGCTCACTCTGGTTGCTTTCAATATGCATCTACTTCTTTTTTGAAGTGGAACAACAGCTTTTCAACTTCTTTTCTGCTTCTGCTCACCACTGGTAATTTTTTCTGTCCAGTTTGAAGCATGGTTTGTTTGCTATTAAAAACTTGTCAGTCACTTGTTGGAGTGCTCATACAGATTCAAGTAAAGCTTTGTTTGATTTACATAAATAATTTATAGATGTACTCCAGTCAGTAGCAGATGTTGAAACTGAAAAACCCACTATTAAATCAGAGGCACATTGGATAAAAGAAAAACTGGAACACTTTGAAATACTGATTCGTTTTTGGTGTCATGTTTTGGATAGGTTCAACATAAGTAAAAACTTGCAAAGTCCTGATGTAGACCTAGGGACCATTGTAATGCTGTACAACTCTTGATGATTACTTAACTTCTCTTCAAAATTATTTTGATACCTTTGAAATGGAGGTCATCAATTTGTGTGGAATTAAGAATTAAGAGCCAGTAATAAGAAGAAGAATGAAAAGGAAACTATATAATTATGGAGATGACCAGTTGGAGACTAAACAAAAATTCGGTATTGAAACAATTCTTGTTATAATGTAGAAGTTGAAAACAGACTTGTTAAAGAAGCATGAAGTTTATGAAATGGCCAGCGTACAATGAATATGTATGACATTCATAAACATGCTTTAAAGTTGGTGTCTGTAAATAATATAGACTTAGAAGATTCAGTGGCTGGGGAATGCATGCAACTGCAATCACTAATTCGTACATCCAAAGAAGATGTATCTTCAGCTATGAAACTTTTTTTAAATTGGTTAAAGGCTAAATGTTGGATATGTATTTTTAAATGTTGAAATAACTCTGTACATTTTCTTATGCACAGCTGTCACTAACTGTAGCAAAGTAAGATCTTCTTCAGTGCTTCAAAGAGCAAAAAACTATTTGCACTCAACAGTCTCAAGGTAAAAACTTAATGCTCTTTCATGCTTATCCATTGAATGTGATATATTAAGAAGCCTATATTTTAATAAAATTGTTGAAAAGTTTGCCAATGCAAAGGCTAGAAAAAAAATCATTTTGTCAGTTGATGTGTCTTATATAAATTAAGCTTATAATAAAAACAAGTTTAATTCCTTTTATTTTGTTGTTGTTCTCATTTTAATGAATAATTTTCCTGGTGAGTCATTAAAAAAGAAAGGGGTATAACTAAAATTGTAAGCCTATAGTGCCTTAATATGCCCCTGGATGTAGACTTAGTGTCTTGGAATTTTAAAGTGTGTGTAATTAGTTGACTTTTCAGAAAAGTTTGAAAAAGCAAATGAAATAGAATGAAGTACCTAGTTTTATTCCTTGTAAAACTTTAGTTTTTACCCATTTTTTGAATTGATCATTAAAAAATGCTTTTCAGGGAAAAATATAAAATATTCTGTTTTAGTAAACATTGTATAACAAATTTCTGGGCCAATTGTCGATACAGAAAGAATACTTAGATACGAGTATATAACAATACTGCTCTTTAATAAAATTTGTTTTCTTCTCACATATGTGATTATTGGAATTTTTAAAATTTGTGAGATATTATGGTTGTAGACACTTTTTTTTTTCATGTCAACATAGAATACTTGAAACCATTTTTAGAGTTTATATCTCTCATCGTTAATGTGGATGTGAAAAGTCAGGTAAGAAGCTATTCCTGTTCTTCAAATAATATAAAGTCCAGTTTTTTGCACATCAGTGTAACTAATGAGAAAATATTACATATTTCGCTTAACATATTACTAGATGCAGGGTTGGATATACTATTTTTAATAGGTAAGAATAATAGCACATGATTCACTACATAGTTTCAATAGTGCCATTCATGTAGCAATTGTGAGTAATTTAATTACAAAGTATTCTCTTTCATATTGTTAATGGATCCTGTATATGAATTGTAGCCTTCTAAGTGCACATAAGTGTAACTCATAAGTTTAGAAGAATATGTAATTGGTTGACTTTTCATAAAATCTTGGAACTGTGCTTCCTTAAAGCTGTATATTACTTTGTGTGATCAACTGACAAATTTCCCTCATTTAGTGAGATAATTATTACTTACCAGTTTTACTGGAAAACCAAGGACTTTATTGAAAACTATTGATGCATAGGTAATGGAACCTACTTAATTTTATTTTTCTTAAATTGATGGATTGAATACACCTTTATATTATGAGTTCCATGCATGTCCAGTATATCAGCATTAAGACAAAATAACCTTTGTTATTGAACATCAACTGTTTGCTTCTGTTTTACTGAACCACCATCGAGTACAATTAAAATTTTAACCCATTGACTGCTGATTTTTGTAAATCATCTAAAGAGTTTTTATGGTTGGAGTAATTCAAGCTTGTCAAACATGGTTCCTTGCCCATTATGCAGAATACTCATTTGCATATAGTTCAATGATGCAAAAAATAGTAATAAGTATATTAAAAAACAGAAAGAAAAGACAAAAGGTATAAACAGACTGTTTCTAAATTTTCTTTTGATAAAGCTCAAAATCATTGAATCATAAAACCCAATAGCGCCCTCTAGTGACACCTCTTATATCTTAGTCTTAATATAGGTACATTAACTATTTACTTGTAATTTCTAATTTAAAATGAAAATTCTAATTATTTTGTAAGACATGCAAGGAATGTGTAGGTGTAACTGTATTTGATTAATTATATTATTAATTTACTTACAATTGAGCTTTACAGTGGCACAGCAGTATGTCTTCAGACTTATAATGTTAGAAGTCGGGTTTCAATACCTGTGGTGGGCTCAGCACAGATAGCCCATTGTGTAGCTTTGTGCTTAGTTACAAACAAACAGTTACTTAAAATTGGTTGAATTGATGATTTTTGTTAAAGTATAATGTAAGTTTTGGATATTAAGGGGCTTATGATGCTATTACAATGTAAAAGTGTACTTGTGTGATTACTTTTGGGGTGAAATTCTTATTCCAAATAACATTTATAAAAATGTTTTATAAATAGATAGCATTTCAGTTTAGGAGAGGATTAAATGTTGGCTTTATTAAGCTCAAACAGTTAAAATTATTAGAGAAACCAAAAGACCTAAGACTTGTAATAAAAATCACATTAACTGTAGTTTTTTTTCCACATTTCCAAGTTGACAGGTAGTATTTTCTTGTATCATTATTACTACATGTAACAGTGTTATAAGTATTACTTGTGATATTGAGGTAATATTTAATGTGATATTCTGAGTATAAGCACATATAACTATAACTATTTTGAAAATGCAAGTAAGACATAAATGATAATGTGCTTATGTTACTTACAGATTTTGTTTATGACTCCTTTAAACCTCCAACCAAAGTTCCTGAATGAAACAGAACACATTGTTTCAGTTGACCAGTTGTCTTTAGCATTTAATCCAGTAGAGTCCAAATTAGGTAAGGCATTGTACTTAGAGAATTTGTAAACCCTAGGATTACAGTGTTAAGATTTAAGTTATTTTTTATTCCTATCAAGTATGTCTACAGAGTGTGATATATACATCAGCTGCAAAAATATTAAATAAGGTTATAATTTAATTTTATACTGAAAAAGTTTTATGGAGTTACATTCAAAGTTTAATTAAACTACTTTCTTATCATGGTATACCAATAAATATAGCATACAAATGTAGCCAATTATTCATATTTCAATAGTTTTTAAGTTTTAAATTCTTAACCCTTTCGCGACAGGCTAGGTATAGAATACACAAGTTTATATTCACATTTGCACAAGTTAAGTATCTGTACTATAACTTTTATTCAGTATGTGTATCTTCACAAAATTTGGTAGACTTTTATTAAACATCACAAGTCTTTTCTATACAAAAATACTGATTGTGTAATGAAGTATTTTTACCAAAGATTTGTTTTTGAATGTATCAAGTCTGTTTCGTTACTAGTTCGAGTTCGAATGGATTTTCATGCTATGATTAAAAAACTGCTATACTCTCACATATCATTTGTGTAATATCTAAATCCTCCTAAATAGTTCAAGCATTTATTGTCAATAAAACTGTATATTTTATCTGTTATTTTCTCTACCCCAACTCTATATAGGTCAGTCAATTTGACTGACCTTGTAACAACCATAAAAATTAGGAAATTAATATAAATTATGCTTTTTTCGTTCTAGAATGACTATAAATTACAACACGGAAACCCAAATGTTTAGTCTAAATAGCTTAAATCTCGTAACATTATACATTTATATATATATATTTATTATTTTTATTATATTGATCTTTCAGCCATGCCTAGCTATAACATTACAGAAATTTCAATGATGCGGTGTACGTGCAATAATGTTACTGTATCCAAAAATATAAAACTGGCCTTTACAAAGTGACCTGTCTTGGCAGTGTTTTAATGGACTAATATTTTGTAAAATACAGTCACATTTTAGTTATAATACATTATATATGTATATACATTACTACTATTTAGTAATAAATTCTTAAACTTATTTTTCTTAAAACATAGAACAGTAAATAAAGAAGTATAGCAAACAGTTACTTCTTCTATTTGCTAAGCCTTATAAAATTTCGCATGTGGAGATTTTATTTATATACATTTGAAAGAATCAAAAATCATAAATTACTATATCAGTACCATAGAATTCCATAATAATTTATTAAGCTTAGTAACTAAGTTGTATTTGGGTCTAAAAAAAATATGAAATTTCGAGTTCACTAAAATTTTACCTAAACACTTGGAATCTAGTAAGAAAAGAACGAGTTTGATGCTCTAATATTTATTGAGGTTGAGAAAGCCACTAGGGAACATTCTAAGCTTTTGATTGATTATTCACACATGATAGACAGAAGTGGGTG